CTATAGCTAGTGTCTGGCTGGTCGTGCAGCAGCGCGGGCGGAGCATGGAGAGGGCATCCGGGTATCACTACTCTCCATCCTCCTTCCCGTGCACTTTTGAGCCGAGAAAGGGCTGCAGTACTGCAGCTACGGCCATATTCACCTCACAAGCAGGGTCCACGGAGGAGTTAAGCCTCGTTCACACTTCGCGAAGGCTAGCGCGATCGACGCGGAAAGCATGCGCATCGATCGCGTTGAACGCGCTGCCGTCGCGAAGTCTGAACGCTGCCTTAGTCTCTGGAGGAGCAGTCCTTTTAATAAAGGGTGTTCAGTGGTTTCTATAGTCAGGGGCTAGGACAGAATTTTTAAGTTCCCGTAATATTTCAGACAGGCGTTTCTCCTAGCCTTCCCAGCTCTTCACGTTTTGCTAATCAGTCACTAGCTAAGCTGTGATGGGATACAAAGCGTAGCTGACCTAAGCTCTCAAAGACACATTTCGTGAAAGGCAGATGAGCAGAGAACTGGGAGGTGGTGTCTCACAATCAGAGAAGAGGGCTTTGAGGGATGTGAGGATGTGACCAATGACGAAGGCAAAATCCTTATGAGTCCCGCCCATTTAGCTATCGCAAAACTGCTTTTACTCTTAAGATCATCCCTCTACCTCTCATCATCCACAGATACCAACATCGCGCAAATTTCATGAATTTCAGAAGCGGAGCCACACCTCCAGACGGTTTCATGGCACCATCCGCATGGCAAATACTTGCTGACTATTACAAATCGATAGTGAGCAAATAACGAAAACCGTGCAATCATTCTATTTTATGCCTGCCGGCCAACATATCTTGTTCTGGATCCTGGTGTGCTTTCTTCAGCCTTTACCTCTCTGTAGAATTTGAGATTTCTCTTGGTTATTCCCAGAAGATTAATGGGAAATTTCTCGATCCAACATTCACCCATGTATCTTGTCATTCCTTAGGCTCTGCCAATTAATCACCGTGCATTCCTTGTTTCCATCCATTTTCCTTCTCTCAATGGAACCTCTGAAAATAGCAAAGTTTGAAATAGAAAAGTAATGGAGGCGGGACTTCACATTGGACCCCGCCCACATGTCGACGTAAAACGTCCATGGTGGTCGCAGCTTTGATTTTTGCAATATTGTGTACTTCCCCTGACATCTTTCATGTTTACCGTGTTTGTGATTGAGTGACGTATTTTTGAGCAATTTTCCCTAATGTGATACATATTTATTGATTTGTACAGTGAACGAGAGATCGTGGAACATCAAATGAACTATGAACAAAGTTTTCCTGAATCATTGTTTCAGCCAATTTTCATGCCATATCGAGCCCAGTAAGCGATCTGAAAAAAGCACTGGTCTCAGCAAAGGTTTCTTTGATAAATTCCTTTGAAAAGTTGACCTCCAAAGGTCATGTGGGCGAGTCGGACTTATATAGTGCTCTCATCACTGGTCCACGCAAATGCAATCCAACTGGGACGATTCCAATGGACATATCGACTTTTTTTTTCTCATTGGCCCACCATTTCCACCAAGGGAGGGGTCACCAGTTCTGGACTCATTTTTTTCGAAAGCGTCCGGGGTATATCATGTCCTTCGTACCAGCTGTATTCCAAGAATTGTTGTCGCTTACCCGCTTCAACAACTGGTAGAGAATGGACTGGCAGCGCGCCAAACCCATCATTCCTGGCACGCCCCTTCATCTGCAGCGAACAGAACTGTAATGACTTACGTTGAATACACTGAACACGGCCGGAAACACTAATGGCCGAGTACAAAGTCGATCCGTGAATAGTTGGACGAGTGTGCTGCTAACAAAGGAGGAACACTGAATACAAAACAATAGTGAAACTGTAAACGAAACTTTGTCGCTTACAAGTGATTTTCGTTGCGCGAATTTTGCTTTTAAAGTGCGTGGGAGACGGGCAATACTATCGTAAATTGCTGCTTCGTCGCTCGCGTCAGTGTGCGCGACGCTTCCTTAGTTTTCAATACTCTTTCGATTGGAGCATCGCATTTCATGTAGATAAAGACATGATATATAACTGTATCTATTTCTGGTCATACACTGTCTATTCTCGACCAATACCACCTTAAATCGTCGTTCTTTGGGGGGCGTGACGTCGCATTGCGTACGTCTGATGGAGCGTGGGTCACGATTTTTTCTGCCACATATGCTCCTGAAAGTTCACATGTTCTGAATAATGGAAGCACAGCAGTGCATCAGTTTGTGTCGGTTGCGGGTTTGTATGTGCGCGTCAGTGCGGAGCTGAAGATTATGTCGCGGTCATCCACACAGCTGCTGCTTTTGATTAAGAAGTAGCAGATACCACTACAGCTGGTGGAAAAGTACGTTGCTGGCTCCGTCACCAAACGCTCAGGCTTCCGCTGGACACTACCAGCATGCTGTCGAGCAGTGAACCATCGACCACGTGAATGTGAACCCTGTCTGCTATCTGTCAAGACCGATAGCAGGTTACAGCAGAAACACGTAGTGGGACCCGTTACTTTTTTCTGCTGAGGGAGGGGGGATGGTGTCTGTATTTTTTCGCCTTCCGGTTCTTCCTGTTTCATGTCGACCAGCGTACTATTTGAAGTGAAAGATCCTGGGAAAATATTGGGAAATTGGGAATATGGGTGGTAGGTGTTAGGGAAGGGGATGTGTCGTTATACAAGGAACCCCATTTGAGGATGACGGGTGGGTGAGCTCCTCTGTAATGAGGGGGAGTCGGTGAAAGTCTGAGAAGTCGATAATAAATAGTAAACAGTAAACAAATAAACAAATAATAAACAAACAAATAAATAATTGTTCACCTTTTGCCGTTCCTTGAAGCCAACTATAGCCAGCTTCAAATAAGTGGACCAAGAAACACGAAAAGGTCCATTTGAGCTTAACATCCATACATCTAAAATATTAATGACTTCCCATAAATCCTGAACTAATCAATATTCACTGACCGATGGCTTTTATATAGGAGACTCGAGGCAGGTTACGCATTATCGATCGAAATAATAGTATGCATGAAAGGAGCGCATTCACACCGATCATCGTACGAGGCGTAATGGCCTGTGGTCCCAACACGAACGCAAGCCAGCTGGAACGATATCAATCGATATATCGATTTCGTTTCATTTGCCCTCTCAGCCTAACTGATAAAGTTCTGTGGATTCTGCGTTATCACTTATTGATCCATTTTCGTTTACACTTGAGGATACATGAAAGGAGGAGCAAGGAGGTAACGACTTTGGGCCACCCAACGCCCCTTTTCTACTCGTCTGCTGTCGCTCGCCCTCGGGAGTTGACTCGCGTAGTGCTGGGCTCGTTAGCAAAAAATTGCACAATCGAGCAGATAATGGGCGTGGCGCAGTTCCGCTTGCACCCCTACACAGGGGAGACGGTCAGAATCGTGATCAATCGTAATTTGTTGCATCATCGCGCACAGCTGAAGCAACAGAACTCCTCCGAATTCGAGTGGAGACAATACTTCATGATGGTGATGTCTTTTGCTCGGCCACTCTTCCGTATCAGGATTCAAACGGCTGGGAAGGCAACTCGTCCTGTAGCGCGGCGTCGCTCGCCACGCCTACCAGCGCGGCATATTACGATTGTCTTGTCACATACCCCTACACGAGTACTCCGAAGTCGAAAAAACCTTACGCAGTTGACGTTCGTGTAAGGGGCGGGGGGGGGGCGAATACTATATGATACCTCATTTTTGAAAGTGTTACCTGATGAAAATTGTGAAAATATGTCGGCAGATAGGCTTGCAGAAGGTACCACATATAACGCGCGCTCGAACACAGAATGTCACGACCAGCTCGTTCCACAATTGCCGGCTTGGCAAGGCTCGTGCTTTAATAAACTGATAATATAACTTCGCTTCTAGGTAATGTATAAGGTTGAACGGATTCACAGCTCTAATTATGCTGCGAGTAAATGCTTTTGAGCCCCAGAAATCGCTGATATTTATCGGTTTCAACACGAACACTGGATGCCTACGTTTATTCCAGCGCATTTGCACCTCTTCGTTGTTGTAGGAGAAACTAAACACAAGCTGTCAACGATGTTGTGAGCGAGGAATTGAAGGGATGGTCTTGAACTCAGCTGCAGCCCACGCTGATCGTTTGGGCGGAGAAACCTGTCCATTTTGCCTATTCACTGGAGCCTGAATTCTCTGGCCTGCTTTCTTCTTTTTAGATTCCGTATTTGGTTGCGTGGGAAGTGGTGTTGGAAAGTGAAAGAGAAGATGCCGGGAGATCCGTCAGTGAACGGAAAACGCGAGAGGGGAGTGCCAAAAACGCTTCTTCTGTTCCTCCGACAAATTCCCGAGAGGCGAGCGGGCAAAGGGGGATATCAGAATAAAAAAAACCAGCTAACCGTGATGAAACTCAGCTTGTCCAGAACCAAGCTGATCTCTTTTATAAAGATAGCTGTAGGATCCTACAAGCTTCCACTTGCTAAACCGGAAACACTATGTTTTGTGCTGGGGATTTGTGGAACCGGAGTCCCTGCTCAGAAAGAGGCGTCACTAGAACGACACAGCTAGAAAGGCACAGCGCCTCAAACCTTTACCTTGCAGTTTTCCGCCGCGAAACAGGTACAAATTTGTCCAGTGCTCACCACAACCTTTTATATAGAATATTTTTCGTTGCCATCGCGAACCGTGTCTATGAAGGAATAAGGAGGGAGTGATCCAATTATCAAGTTGTGGTAGGCCCGACTCCACCCATACAATCAGCATGGGCTGCGCCCTTAACGTCAGCTTGAGGGGAAGAGGAGATGAACACATATGGTCTGGCTATGTTGAAGTGTTCAGTTTCGATTCTGTCTATATCTTGACTGGCCGCACCTTTGATAATTGAGTCGGCACGATTGCGTGTCCATAGGAAAGTCGACTAAATCCATTGAGCAGGGTCCCTTGACTCGCACACGCTAAAAAATTCCAGTAACTTATTGGTCGCAAGGTTTATAGAGGTAGATCTACAGTAGGTATTACTGTCCTTTGGCAGGCACGTCCAGCAGCATTCCCAAAGAAACTGTTCATTTACTGAGATGTATCTTCGTTGAGTTACATCCATACTCATAAAACTCGGAGAACTGTTACTCAGATGGTACGATGATACTGTTCTGTGAATGAACTCCAGCAAAGGAACCACTTGAGGAAATCAAATCACGGTGTTATCCAGGCACCGCGGTTGGGGATCCCAGGGCGCAGGGCCGTGTTCGGTCGCTGAAAGGGGGGTTCGTCAAAGAAGGAGGTTTTGAGTAGTGTGAGGGGGGGGGGTGGCTTGGAGTACTTGGCAATATGCCGTATTTCTCACAATGCCTTCCTCTTTATGTTAATCTACCCCTACTCGATATGGATTTCTGCTTCCATCCAGAATCACAAGTGCCTTCTAAATGAGCTTTAGCCTCCAAATTTCTTGATGACTTGAGATGGCCACACAAAACCCAATGTAAACATTTACCTTCTCAGACAACTCTCACCACTTTTGATCCATATGCCCGCCTAAGCCCCACAAAGTTTCTTCCCGAACGTTCCCCGAATATAGAAAATCGTTCGTTCTCTAACGAGGAAGTATGGAACATATCTACGTGACTCCCTTACATCACGTGGCCAAGTACATATAAAGTGGATCGATACCGGTAGAAAAAGCGTGGAATATGAATGACATAAAACCCACGCATACGTGACGGAGAAAATATCCATAATTATTATGGCAACGTCAAAGAACGCTTGCCACCCTAAGCTGATGTCACAGGCACGCAACGATGAGTTTCAATAAACGAACGTTTTTTTAGTACTGCACTTTGTTACTGTAGAAATAAGGACATGGGAATTACCACGTATTCCACGACCGCCACCGTATAGGCGACCATCAACCATCTTTATAAACTTTCTGCCACTCTTCTGCTTTGTTTGCGGTTCCTTCTGGAGACTTGATGTTATTTAAGAGTGCTCTTTGGAATGATGCCAAAGTACAAGGAAGACCCTGCGGTGGCAAGTGGCCCCTGGACACTCACACTTTGGGCAGTGGCCCAAACGTGACTGTATTTCGGAAACTCAACAGATTCCCTGCTCAGAATCTTAGGAATCTATGAGATTACCTGGACCTGTAGGGTCGATACATGGATTATGAACCGTGGGGATGTCCTGGGGGCAGCGGGTGGCTTTATATTTCGCCTTGAATGAAAGCAGTGATGGAGGGCTCTTCCTGCACAAGGCACGAATCAGAAACTTTTTAAGGTCTTTAACCTTGAATTTTTGAAAGTTTTCACAGCCCTGTTTGCTGCGGATGATGGGGCGTGTCAATGAGCCTGAACCTCCGCGCCGAACTCCCGTCTTGACACAACCCATCATCTGCAGCGAACAATACTGTATAGCGTTCACTA